CGCGCGGCTCCCAACGCCCCTTGCTGTGACTGGGGCGGGGCGGGGGGCGGGGAGAGGTGTTCTAGCTAACGCTTTTCCTCCTCAGTCTCCGTAGCCCTCATCGGCCCGGGGAAGTGCTGATGAGGACACAGGTATCCACCGCACAGAGCCCTGCCTCCATGCTTTCTCCTTAGCTCTGGCCTGAGCTGGAGCAGGGGAAACACCATGTATCTGGATCCAAGAAGGCAGTTTTCCTGAAGCCGTCTCCGGGATATTGTTCTTCTGGCGTGGTTTAATACTCGCCGAGGTGTTGGCGCTTAAAGCCCATTTTATGGAAATAGGGGTCCTCCGTAGCTTGCTCCTGCGGTCACGTGGCTGAGGGCATCCGACCCCTCAAGTCTGCTCTTCGTTCCAGGGGTGTTCAGTAAGGTTGAGCACCCTGGTTGAGAATAACTGCTCTAGGCCAAAAGTGAAGGAGTATCTTTTTCCAATTTTCTGTGGTGTCCTTTGATAAGGACTAGTTAAAAGATTTTGGGGAGACTGAGGACATCAGGTCAAATACAGACTTCACATTTAAGCCCTTCCTTAAGAGTCGTCTTCTGGTTCCTGGGATTCTGAACTGTGTCCGCTGCATTTGTGTTGATTACCCCCGACAGATCCCCTTTACTAGGAACCTCCTGGCAATGCTCGCTGCTCTTCTGAAAAGGGAAAGGCACGGTATCCTATTTTACAGCACTGATTTCTCTAGTTGCTCTGACAGGGTCATTCACCACATGCATGGTATCTACCTTGATACAAGGTTTTATCTGCATATTCTGCTAAACACCTTGTCACATAAGGACATGAAAAAGGAAAGTATAGATTAGGGTGATAGTAACGAACAATACCAATCACTGCCTTTGCTGCTGTTCCTTCTACCTTTTGTGGTGAGTAACAGGAATGTCTGACACTTCTCATCCTTATTTTGCAGGTATTCCCCAGGAGAGCCTTTCACTAGGTCAATCTTCTGAAGTCTTTTTAATTAGTAACACAATCAACATTCTCCCAATTTGTTCCCCTGGCATGTAACCTATTTTTTCCTAAAATACCTATTTGACAGAGAGCAGAATCCTCTTTCTCCAGTTTAAAGTGACCTCATGGTACCTTCTTTTTCTCCACACTCAAGTTTGTCTGCCACTAGGCTACAACCTAGACCCCTGACTAATATTTAAGCACTTCTCTCTCTTCTCCCTCCCCCCACTTTTGTTACTTTTTCTGCCTCTTGTGTTCTAGGGTAGAAACATTTTGCTATTAAACAGCTCTTGTATGCTTAGCGATAGCAGATCCTCTTTCCTTGCATTGCCCTTAGGCTCTTTTCTTCCCAGATCCTGTTTTCCATTTGTCACAAATGACTTTAACATGGTGCCCTTAAACAATCTCAACAAGAATTCACTGAGCCTGGAAGCACACATTAAAGGGGAATAGATAAACCCTGTACAATGACTCTCCCTTGAACTGTTTTCCCTTCTTTACCATCTTCTGAGTAAAACAGTTTAAATAAAAACTATACCAGAGATGAAAGATAACGGTCTGTGTAGAGGAACATGATGGAATGAAAGGATGACAGAAAAAGGAAAAGGGAAAGAGAACTGCCATTATCAAAGGACCTAACCTGGCGACCAAGAATAAATCTGGAAGTGATGCACAGAAGAGAAAACAAAGAGGGGAAAAAACCTGAATTTAATATCAATAGAACACATATTTGAAAAAGAGCAAAAATACAGGGAGGCAATAGCTTTCTTAATTGTTTGACAGTGACCTTTCCTTTGGTCTATTTCCCCCAAAGAAATAGAAAGCAAGAGCGATCCATGGTTAAAGCTCCAAGACAAATTTTAATAAGCTACTCATTATTTAGGCTCTAAATACAAGCTGTCTACAACTGAAATTAACTTTTAATTTATTTTACAATGTGGCTATTTCACAGAGCTAAGATATAAGCTACTGTGTTTGTACTCGTGGACTGTATAGCAAGACTTCCATTGATTTAAGGGCTTATAGAAGTCTTATTCTACCAAAATTAGCTGTCACAATGTCTGTACTTACTTGTTTCATGCCTATGCATCATGTTACCATTTTATCTCCATGATCCCATGCTATATTTTTCACACAGGACCTCATCTGCCTCATTCAGTGCGCAAGAGAGAAGCGGCTGTCTGAATGAGCAGCTACTACACGTTTTCTTTTCTTCTCCTTGATCAGTGTATACCTATAGCCTCATGCACTCTATTCAAATCCTCCTTTCAAGATTGATTTATTAACTTCCTCATGGGGTTTTCTATAAAAGCTGAGGGCTTGATACTGAAAATTATGTTCTCAATGCTATTATGAAATAAGGGGGTATTCTTATCCTGATTATAGAATGGAAGCTGAGACACAGTGGTCACATCTATACATGCTTTAATGCGCTGTGGTTAGTGCTCATTAAGTTTAGCATCTGTAATAACAGGTACTAACTAAATGTGCAGTAATCAGCGCTACTGCGCAGTAGCACCAGCACAAACCTTTTTAGTGACTAATTCTAATTTAGAGACTATTTCTATTGTGCAATAGCACAGCTTTTGCTGTGACATGCTAATGTGCACTAGAATTAGTCTACTGCGCATTTACCGTCTCACGTAGATGCGCTCAGAAAGATTAGATCAAAAGCGTCGGTTAATTTTGGCTGCCCACACTGAGGACCTAATTTTTCATCACTTTTGCATCACTTGAATATCATGTGTTCAAAGAACAGCACTCTGACTGACTCCAGTATAGCTGCAAGTGCTTGGCACTTCTATAAATCAGACTCCAACATCTCAAGTAGGGGTGCGCCGATATCCATTGAAGCATATTTTCAACCTTACTCTGTCTTAACAAATGTTTTTTGTTCAGCAAGTAGAGATGAATACAGTAGTTTGGCTACTGACAACTGTGGAAGTTATGTTCAAAAGTCTCTTGTTCCTCTCTCACAACATCCTAATATGGGGGCATGTCATTCTTAGCCTGATAGTATGAGTCAGAGAGAAGAAACTTAGAAGGGAATACCTCATCCTGAATGAGGTACTCCAAAGTTTGAGTTTCAGATTAGGAGGCTGCTAGCAATACCAATGGAGAGAGCTAATGTGCACTGAAAAACTATTATTAACACCTTTTGACACAAGGGATACCCTTGGATAAATTACCTTTCTCTGCCTGCAACGGACTGTTAACCAAGGGGCAATCTTTCAGAGAACGTTCTTTCCAGGTAAGGGCATGGAGCCAGTGTTTTTTCCAGTCAAGGAGTTCCACAGGAGAATTATATCAGCCTTAGGGCATGTGGGATTGGGAGCCCTGCACATGCCCAAGCCCATGCATGGGGAGTTGTAAAGGCAAATATTTTATTTAAATGAGGATTCTCACTCCATGAGCAGCTCTGCAACTTCTTTGCATGGAGTTGGGGAATTTTCCAACCCCCTGTTCAAGGGTCTCATCTTCTGAATAGGGCTGTTCCTTCAAAAAAACAGCTGCTCTAGCTTTCTAGGATTTTTCCGGGCAAGAAGAACACAGATAATTTCTGTTGTACCCCAGTATATGAATCATCCATTTTGTTAACCAGTTCTGTATTTCACCTTCTTGCCCATACCTTCTGCATGCACAGGGGCAGCAACACGCAACAGGACAGTTCTCTTGTACACAGCATTGATCATAAGTACTACCTGGGGCATGAATACCGCATGCCCCCAGAGGCTGGGGTGAGGCATAGCAACTGGTCACAAGTGGCAGTGGTGGGGGCATGGTGGCGGCGAGCAGGGAGCTCCCACAGGCAGCCACAGCAGTGTCAGTGGCAGGGGCAGGCCAAGCGGGGAGCTCCCACAGGTGGCCACGGCGGTGTTGGCGGCGGGAAGGGAGGGGGACAAGTGCTGTCCAGTGGTCAGTGACCCCGCCAGCAACAGCGGCAACAGCCAGTGGTGATTGGGGACTGCCCACAGGTGCCGTCAGCGGTGTCAGACACGAGGTGGGGAGATGGCGAGCGGTGACCGCCTAAAGGTGCCACCGGCAGCATTAGCGGCACTTTTCATAGGGGGTGCACCACCAATCTCAGGGGGTGCACATGCACCTGCGTGCACTCCCTAAGCATCACTAATGACCTGGGGGAGCACGGGGACTTTTTAGTCAATGGTCAAATAGGCAGCCTTCTCGAAGAAATCAATGGCTCTTGTGTAAACACTCTGCTGAATTGCAGCCTGAAAAATGAATAAGGATATGTTGACACAGCAGAGACATATCTGAGCTACAGAGCTACTAACTAGGCAGCTTG